CCCTTGCCCAGCAGGGCCAGCATCCAGGGGTGTTGTGCACAGGCTGACCTGGGCCGACATGTGGGCGAAGCCGGGAGAGGCTGAGGCTGGGCCCACTGGGTGCTGCCACCCTCTGTCCAGCAGGCTCAGCGTCCAGGGGTGCTGTGCACAGGCTGACCTGGGCCAACGTGTGGGAGAAGCCGAGAGAGGCTGAGGCTGGGGCCCACTGGGTGCTGCCACCTGTGGCTCGGGCCCCTAGGCCGCCTGGGCAGTGGGAGAAGGCAGCTGGGGCCTGTGCCCGGCGTAGAGCCTTCGGCATGGAGGCCCCAGAGAGTCCGTGACTGGAAGGTGACCCAGGGGGCTAGTCGGATCCTGGAATCCCGGGAGATCTCTGTGTGGAGACGACAGAGAACCTGGCGTCTGACTGAAAGCGAGAGGCTCCAGGCTGGACTGGGCCAAGGCAGAGGTGGCCGTGAGCTGGCTGGAAGGGACAGGTGGAGGCCGTCCTGGGGGGGCGTCCAGGCTGCGGGAACAGTTTGCTGAGGTCACAGGAGGCTGGGTGTGGCCCCGTGGTGAGGACAGAAGATGGAGGGCAGGTGGGCTCAGGCTCTCCCGGGGCTCCTGAGCCTGGGTGAGGCTGCGTCAGGCCGGGTCGGCTTCAACCAGACTTGGTATGACGCTGGCGGGGCAACTCAGGCGAGCACGAGGCTGCCTGCCAGGCAGCAGGGGAGGCCCAGGTCCCCTTGCAGGGACAGCCACCGCGGCATGGGCACCATGCTGACGCGGCCTCTCTCCTCTCCTAGGACTCTCAGCGCGGCAGGAGGTGGCATCTGTTCTGTGCCCAGAGGAGTTAAGTGGATCCCCCAGAAGTCACAAGCTGGCGAGTGGCAGAGCCAGGACTTTCAACCCCTACACCGGGGCTCCCTCCCAAGTCTCAGGAGGGGCTAATTTCACCAGGACACAGGGCAGGAGCTGACGCTGACGCTCGTGGGTGGGAGCCCCAGGGCTGTTGGCGAAGGACTGCGAGAGCCCACAAAGATGGGACAGGGGGCGGGTCCGGGAGGGAGAGGACCTGGCCCAGGGAGCAAGGAGCCTGCGCATCAGAACAGCCCAGGCCCGGGTTCAGGTGAGCAGGTGAGCTGGCCGTCGGGGCTGTCTGCCGAGTGGACCCGAGCTGGAGAAGCGGCCGAGGCCATGGGTCCGCTTCCTGCCATTTCTAAGCAATTCCAGGGAGGAGGCGCAGGGCAGGCACGGGCTCGGACTTCCGATCACGTTGGTGACGCTGAGAACGGCCCTGTCTGGCCGCCTCGTTTCTCTGACCCAGGTCTAACGGCAGAGCCACCGGGGCCGGCCCCACGAGAGCACAGCTCGGACCTCACACCACGAAACGCGCACAGGGCTCCCAGAGGCTGCGGGCCAGAAGGTGGAACCCGGATGGAGCGGTCCTGCCTCGATTCCCCTCCCCTCGGCCTCAATAAGGGAAATAAACGAACCGAGGAGGAGGAGCGGGGAGCGGGAGCTCCCTCTGGATGTCTTTTAATTGCCTTGCTGTGATTGCCTATTTAAGCCCACCTGGCAGAAAGAGGAGTAAAAGCACTTCACCCTCCTTGGGGGGCCCTGCGAGAAAGGCGAGCCAGAGCTGAGCCAGCAGGGAGGAGGCTGCGGGGCAAGGTGTGTGTGCATTGGGGTGAGGGGAAGCCGACTCCCCAGGAAGGACACGACCAAGCTTCCCAGCCAGACAGAGGGACGCTGGGGCCAGGCGAGGGCCCTGTCAATGAAGACAGGGTCTCCGGACGCCCGACCCCCAGGAGGCTAAGCCAGGACAAGGAGGGTCAACTGTGTGGGGGTGAAGACGACCATCCTCCTCTGTGTGACGGCCGTGACGACAGCACGTCCCGAGGCCACTGTGCGGAGTGACAGGGACACCCAGGAAGGACCTGCAACTGTGCACCCTACACGGCGGACGCCCACTGGAGTGTGCAGTACCCGATAGAAAACGCAAAGGCGGGCTCATTCCACCAAAACAGAGCAAGAGACGGCGAGACCCGTGGTCTCCGTGGAGAGACAGGGCGGCCTCGTGCGTAGGGACAGAGCGTTCCACCCAGTGGGGGGACGTGAGGGACTTCCATTACCCCCACCTTGCTGTGGAGCACTGGGCCGAGGGCTCCAGAAACACACAACGGACCCTGTTCCACAGCAGGACCTAGATCTCTGGGCGAGAACAGAGACTTGGACAGACAGGTAGAGGTGAGACGCTTTGGGTACTGTGGGGCTCAGTGTCTGCGTGTTTAGCCAGGACAGAGTCTCCCGTGAGAGAGGTGAGTAGCCCCAGGGCAGCTGGAGGGTGCTAGGCACCTGGGGAGGGGAGAGGATCCCAAGATTAGTTCTCCCTGGAGTCGACCACCAAAGGCGGGAAGTCTAGAGAAGGGGGTCGTGGAGCACTGGCAGCAGCTTCCACCCTGGGGTACCTGGGTTAGTCCTTTCTCAAAGCCAGGGTTCCGCGAGCGGCAGAGGTCAGAATCAGGATGCTGAGGCTGCACCCAGTAACGACAGCTCACACGACAAGTCACGAGCGCTTCCGATGAGCAAGGCAGCTCTTTACCCAGAACAGTGGCTCGGGCGGGCTCCGTGACCCGGTGACCACAGCATCTGGATCCCACGTGGCCCACCGTGGGACCTGGCAGCGTGAAAACATACCAGACACCTCTGTATGCATGCACACCCCAACCCCAGAGGGGCAGAGAACGGAGAAGAGGCTGCGGTACGACCTTCCCCGTGGACGGCGGGGTGGGGTGTCTTCTCTCTGGAAAATGCACACGCCCTGTAGGAGGGGAGGGGAGCGTCCACCTTCCAAAGCCTAGAAGAGGCCACACGACCAACACAGGACCTTGTTCTCAGGAAATGACTCACTCCCAACTTCCAGAGAAAGCAGAGGGAAGGGTGAGGGAGGAAGAAGGGGCACCGGTCCCTGGAAACCGAGGGCCTCCCCAAGCCCCGCATCTACTCCATGGGAAGGACCACGTGGGGGCGTAATGGGAGAGGTCAAGCCTTCCGGGCTCACACGCCAGACCTGCCAGGCCAGCCTGGACGACACGCTCACTCTCCCAACTGCTCCCTGGAGGAAAGCAGGCCACGCGAGCAGAGTGGGCTCACCCGCATGAGGCCCAAGGAGAACGCGGGGATGGGTCACGGACATGCTAGGACACGGGGCCTGGACACAGGGCCAGGAATCCACGCGGGCTGCCGCCGCCGCTGCCCCGTGAAACCCCGACCTTAGCAGATGCTCTAACGCCGTCGCGATGTGATCGAGTGATCCCTGCGCGTGGCCCCCGGGGCACGGTGTCACCGATCTGCCGACCACGTGAATGCCCTGACAGGTGGCCCCCCGGGGCACAGTGTCACTGATCTGCCGACCACGTGAATGCCCTGAGAGCCAAGCGTTTATCCGAGGAGTGGTCGCCGCCTCCCCTCACCTGGCTTTTTTGGTTGCTTGCCCGGAAAAGTAGGGCCAGCCGTCCCTCGCCCACCACCAGCACTTCCTGTGTGAGCGCAGGGGCCGGGGGCACCGCGAGAGCACGGGCTAGACTCCGCTCCACACGTGCCATCTGGAGTAATCGCAAGGCCATCTCACGGGGCTCTGCTCGCCCCACGCCACGACCTGCCCGAGGCAGCCTCTCCTTCTTGCCAGACGCTGCCTCCACACCCAGCGGGGTTTCCTCTCCCCAGATGCCGCCACGCTTACCGCAGAGACCAGCGCGGACATACTTACTCCCGGGGAGCGGCTGTCCCCGCACAGCTGCCGGGGTGCCATCCGGCACATCCAACGTCGTGCTCCCTCTCCCGGGTGAGAATTCTCCACCGTCTCCCTCTCCTGAGGGTAGGCTGGGTTGTTCGGCCACAGGTGCCTCTCCTCCAGGCCCTGGGCTTTGGTGTCTTTCTGCAGGAGCGTCACACGTGTCCGGGGCTCCCAGGTCCTCGTTCTCCAAGGACCGGGGGCCCTCCTGTGTGCCTCGCCCCCCTCTGGCATCTGCCTCGCAGCTGGCAGGAGAGCCCGGGGGGCTGTGGTACTGCGGGATGACGCCCACGAACTTCAGGCCCTGACTTGCAGCCTCCTGGACCTGCAGGGCAAGACAAGGAAGGGGGTGAGTCAGTGGACGGTCTAGCAAAGGGCCATGCGTGCGGCCAGACACCTCGCGGAGACTCGTGGGAGCAGGGTCTGGACCCTGGGTCAGGCCAAACAGACCAGCTGTGGCAGCACGTGCCTGTAACTCTAGCGAATTGGGAGGCTGGGGCAGAGGGTCCTGGCATGATGATCAAAAATACCTGTCTTGGGCCCAGCAGGTGGCGGTAGTTAAGGTGCTGGATTCCCATACGGTTGACCACGGTTCAAGGCCTGGACCTGGCAGCTTGTGTGCATGCATGCCCAAAGTCCTGAGAAGGGAATGGAGAAGGGATCGCTTTGTGGTCAGCTCCCCCCAGGGAGTGATTTCTCACTCTCCTCTCCCTCTGTCTCTCTGGCGAGCATACACACCTATGGCGAAAACCTAAAAAACAAAATGAAACAAAACCGATTCTCCCCCTCTCCTCACTCCTGCTGCAGGGTAGGGGTGAAAACCCACACGAGCACTGGGGGCTGGAACTCTCTTTCTCCCTAAAATAAATACCTCGAGGCAACGGAACTTAGCAGTCAGAAGCCTGAAAGGAACAGCTTACTGCAATCAGATGGGAGCTAGAAGGTAGGCTCCAGGGGCCTTTCCAGGCCAGGATGCGCAAGTCCGTTTCTAAATAAACGAAGAGGTGGGGCCCTGAGAGCGTCCAAGTCTTAGTCACCAGCCCAGACGTCGATGACCTGAGAAAACCCTGACCAGCTGCCACGGTCCTGTACTCATCCGAGAGCCAGCCCGCGCGGGGATACTCCCTAAGACGCGGGCCTTGCCCGCCCTCCTCCGACGGAACGCCCCAGTGTGAAACAGGAGGTCACTCGGGTGCCACACGGCACGTTCCAGGAAGTGGCCTGCAGCGGTGACACGTGTGGGCCAAGGCTTCTGCAGAGTGGAGCCTGTGCAGGGGCTGCCCGTCACAGTGGGACAATCTGCCATGACCATCTACTGTAGACCCACTGCATGCCACGCACAGGAGCAGGCGTTGTAAGGAAGTGTTTATTTCATCCTTCAATGACCGCGTGTGGGACCATTCCCTCCACCTTGGACGAGGCCACTAAGGCCAGCGATCTTGAGCTCACAGATGAGCAGTAGTGAGGGAGAGAATGAGCTCAGGTGTGGCTCAGGCCAAAGTTCATCCTCTTACCCCCGAGACCAAGCGGACACCACTCCAGGCCTCACAGACACACGTCGGGCCGCCACCGTGGCACAGCAGTACGGCTCTAATGAGTGAGGCTGGGGACACGTGGGGGTCGCGGGTTTGGATCCTGGGCCAAGCTAAACAGGCCAAGCATGTGGCACCGCCTGTCACCCTCGCTAACTGGGAGGTTGGGCAGGGGTCCCGGCATGATGAGATCCTGTCAGAAATCTCTCTCCCCTCCCTCGTTTCCTCTCTCACTAAATAAAACAAAATAATAAAATAAAACGCAACGCCCATGGTTGGTTCAATTCACTCTTTAGGAGTTAAAAACCAAAACCAAACAAAAACTAACGTCATCCTTTTCATTCTGAAAAATCCATTTTCCTGTCATTAATCTGCTATAGCCACCTATTTTAGAAATTAATTTGGTAACCTTCTAAAGGAACACACAGGTAACAACAGTTTTAAGAGTGGGGAGATGACTGCACCGAGGAACCTGGGGCTGGGGGAGGAGGCTGCAAACAAAGCACAGTTCTGAGCCTCCTGGCAGCACAGGCGCAAAGAGGAAGGCGATGGATCTCAGTCTTCGAGGAAATGAGAGAACAGCCTGGCAGAAGCTCCGGCTAGTCTTCCCACAGGGGAAACCACTGCAACTGCTGACGCATTTTCAAACACTGGCTACACCAAGGGCTCGACCACGGACCATCGGCCAGTGTCAAGTGGAGTCATGGAAAGACTTGGCCGGGGCCAGCAGGTGGCATGGTGGTTAAGGCACTGGACTCCCACGTGGCCAACCACGATTCAAGTCCGAGACATGGGGGCTTGAAACTCACTCAGGTGCACGTGCGTGCCCAAAATTCCAGAAGAAGGGACTGTGGCGCGGCCACCCTATTTTATCTTAAACAGTAATGCGAATTGTGTACCCTGCATCGTAATACTGCATGTATCAAAACCTTCTTAAAAATGCCAAAGATAAACGTTTCCCCTCCCCACCCTCCCCGGGAAGTTCGTACCCCAAGAAGGTGAAACGTCTTGGGTATGAAGCTCACCCTGCAGCTCCGCTGCTTCCCTTGGGTGGGCTCCTGGGAGTGGAACGAACGGGTCGAGGGACGCGAACTTGTCAAGGCCTGGAATGAGCTGCCCAACTGCTGACCAGAAAGGGTAAGTGGTCCTTCGTAACCAGATCCCATGGAGACCAGTGTCTGGCTGGACCCCAGGCCCGACTCCTCCGGTTTCGACCTCTCCTGAGCACACACCCTCCCTCCTCTTCTTCATAGAGTCACCGGACTGTGCACGCTGCGGAGTGGGGCCCTCTGTGTCGTCTGTCACAAGTGAGCCTCAGGGCGGGCGGTACGCGGCGCTCATGGGCAGCAGCCCTCCTCGCCCCGGCCCTCGCCTGGCGGCTCTCCTCATGTGAATCTAGCCACTGCCACGTGCTCGCTATACTCCGTAATCTGTACCCCGACCCCAGCTTTCCTCGGAGGTTCACACCTACGCGGCCAACGGTCACAGCCCGTGGACCCACCAGCAACTTCTCTCAACTGGAGTCACGGCGTCATCCTTCTCCAGCCTGAAAACCCGCTGGCCACATCCTGCCGCGTGGACCTCCAGCGGTTCTGGGATCTTTCCCCCATTGCCCACATTTCCGAGATCCCTGAATTTTAGGCCCTAGTCACTGTTGGACAGTGCCATAATTTTGAGCTACACCAAGACCCTCTGAGCACAGGCTCAGATTCATGGTTGGTTCAATTCACTGTGGAGGCCCCCAGTCTGTCACATGCAAGTCCACAACACGTCTCTCAGAATTCGGACTAGTAAACACAACTACTAATAGTGCACGAGTCTTCGGCCAAGAACTCAGCATTATCTTAGGTCCCCAAATAACCCCTCATAGAGAGGAAACTGGTCATGTGAAGATGTAACCGGTCAAACTTCCCAGAGCCAGTCTGAGGCAGTGTGGACTGGAGTCTGAGTATGGTAACCCACCACTCTTCCCACTTCAGATGTCAACCGGTGCCAAAGTGTCCTGGGGGACACCAGCTGAAACTGAAATACACTCTCGGGAACAGCAGGTGGCGTGCGGCTAAGACGCTGGACGCTCCCAGAGGGTCAATCACAGTGTGCGTCCGGACCTGGTGGCTTGCTTTCTTACTTTCTCTCTCTCTCTTTGGTCAAAATTAAAAAAGAAAGAATGAGTAAAATTTTAAAAAATAAATAATTCTTTAAAAAAAAAAAAAACCTCTCACCCACCCTCTAATTTCTGCTGCCTTTAAGCATCCTGTCTCAAATACTTAAAGGAGTAACAAATGTTCTCTTTTTAAGTTTATTTTTATTTATTTCTTCATGAACGAGAGAAGGAAAAACCCCTCCAGCAGGCCCTGATGCCACCTCCGCCCGCAGACTCGGCAGGGCTCCAGGTGCAGACCTGGGGCATCCCGTGTCTGGCCTTGCGGTGCTGTTAGAGGCAGCTTCTATATGCTGAACTTACGGAATGCCTGTAGCTAAACAGCTAGCTAGTGAGGAGAACCACAAACCTACTGCTCTGAGGGGAAAAAGCCCTGCCGAATGCAGCAGCCAAGGGCCACGTGTGACTATTTAACCTAAGTCAGTCCCGCGGTCAGAGTCCCACGACAAACACTCAGGAGCCACTGTGGCCAGCAGGTCCCTGTTAGCCCGTGCACGGAGCACTCTCGGTGTCCCAGGGAGGCCTACTAGACGGGGTGGCTGCGGGACACGGAACGACGGAGTCTCCCACAAAGACCGCAGAGGCCTACGACGTGAGATCCAGCCCACGACCCACACTCCCGCCCGGACACTGCCCGCGCTGGCCACCCCTCCCAGCCCACGGCCATGGCAGCAGGGATCGGTGACACACAGGGTGCCACCCGGGCGCTGTGCGAGCGCTGGCACCCAGACGCTGCCTGGTGCTCAGCCACATGTGAGCCTTCGCGGTGAATATTTTATCACGCACAGCCCTTCCCATCTTTTGTCACCCGGGCTCGTGCACAGCTTTCTGAAATGCGAGGTTTAGCTCCCGTCTGAAGCTGCCTCTGGTCCTGACACGCTAACACCCGGCGTCGGGAACGGGAAGGCTTGCCAGGCACCCAGGCGTTCAGCTGTACGGGCCACACGGATCGGCCAGGCAGGTATTGGCGGTGCTGTTTTCTTTCCAGTGACAGAGTCCTGACGCCCCGGTGCTGGAGTTCTGGCCTCTCGGTGACTAAGCGGTCTTAGGAGGAGCCTGGTCGAGGCGGCTCTGGCTGCTCTGCCCCCCGTCTGCTGTCAGCGGTCTCAGCTGATGGGTCTGAGCCTGCTTCCTCGTCCGTACAACGGGGGTGTAATGTTCACCCAGTCGTGTGTTCGTTTCACAACCACCGAGTACTGCCATGAGCTGGTACCGGTCCTGGGGACCCAGCAGTGAGCCAGACTCACCACCCGCCCCCTCGGCTTGAATATGTGCTGGGCTTTTTCAAAGGGCACCAGGGAAGCGGGAGAGTTGGCTTGCTCCGTCCTTCTCCAACCGTGGACCCGTCTGAGGAACGGTCGCTTGTCCTCAGATCTCTCGCCAGGCGGGGGGCTGGGGAAGGGTATAAATGTATCCTCCTCTGCCACAGGGGTGACTGGCTGGCAGCTCGAGCAGTGCCCCAGAAACTCAGCAAACGATAAACTTGCTCAGAAACAAAAAGAAGAGGTCGGTCCAGAAAACGGACGGGTCCTTTGATGTGTGCGCAGGGCAGGTCTCCGGCCATCCCACGCCCTCCCCGTCGTCCCTCAGAGAGGACAAGAGACGCAGCCAAGGCAGCAGCTGAGCCCCGGC